AGAAAACTCGCTGCCTATCGCGACTGGAACGAACCCGCCAGAAGTAAACACGATTTCCGGCGCCGGTGGTTGCAGTTCCGATCGTGCAGCCCTACTGGCACCTTCACCACTTCTAGATGACCCTGCACATGGGTCCAATTAATCCATTCTAGCCCTCAAACACACTGAATTTCAGATTCAAAACAGTCCAGTCACGAGGGCAGCGTTTCCGTCAGCTAAGACCCATTTTTCCGGTGCCGTCCAGTACAATCGTGGAGGCGGACCACCTGGAATAGAATCCTCCTCACCTGGAGCTGTTTTTCCACTATTGGGTCTTCCCCAATTCGATCAAAACCAGGTTCGATTTCTTGATGCCATGATTGGTTTTTTTGAAAAATTAGGGTTTGATAAAATTGGGGATCCCTCACTGCTCCAACTATTGAATTCGTTTGGGAGAAATGCTAATAATGATGTTAATGCTATGAATACATTTCCAATTGAGCCAATTGGTGCTCAAAATGTTGAAGTGAATTCCCCAATTTTGGTTGAACGTGAATTTGCTCCCAAATCATCAATTGGTACTGTTTTGGAGGAATTGGCACCTAATTTGAAATGTACAAATGCTATGGAGGAGCTAAAGATCAAGGGTGATGGTTGTATTCGTAGAATTGAAAATCAATTGGATACCAACCCCATTCTTACCCACATTGTTGATGATCCTTGTCCACTATCTAAGGCACTCCCAACTCTTCTTTCTACTCCACATATTACACATCCGATGTCAATACCTCTTGCCAATAGCTCAATGCAAATCTCTGCCAACTTTGACCCTCCTCCTCTTGTTTCTCCCAAAACTGATCGAAACACATCCAATAGAGCCCCAGGCCTAACTCAGCAAGCTAAAAGTGGTCAACATAGACCTGGACCTCCATTACCAACTCAGAACTTAGGTAAACCAAATGTTCCTCCATCTGGAGTTACAGGAGCTAACCAGGCCCCTCAATCTTATGCCGCTGCACTCAATTGCAAACCCGAGATTACACAGGCTGAGAGGAGCCAGAAGAAATCATTTTCTCAAGTCCTCCGTGCTTCTGAGGACTCCAGA